GGAAGGAGAGGGGCTTTCCCGGGGGTTGTAAAGGGTTGACGGGGGATGTTAAAAATTCCCCAAAATGATGGGGGGTTAGCTCAGGGGGAGAAAAAGGGTAGCCGGGAAGGAGAAGTTTTCCCAGGAAGGGGGGTAGGTTTCCGGGAGGCCGGGTTAAACCCAACAGCAATTTTCGGGGGGGTTGGGGGGAGAATAGTCACCCCAGGGGGGCCTCAAAGGGGAGGAAAGGGGTTTAGGGGGGGGGGGTTTGGGGGGGATCAAGGGGTCTCCCGGTGAAGGAGCAACCAACCCCACCCCCTTTTTACGCCCGGGTTGGGTTGGGGGGTTGAGGGGGTCCAGGTAAACCCCGGGGAGATGCAGCAGGGGGGGTAGAGTCAGGGGGGCTGGTTTCCTTCGGGGGGTTTTTGTGATCCCGGGAGGTTGAGGGAGGGGGAAACAAAGAGGTCGTGGATGGCTAAGCTTTTTTTGCACACCGTTTCGGGCGTTCGGATGCACATGAAAAGGGGGGGGAGATTTTGGGGAAAGCGGGGGGAAAGATACTGGGTTTGGGGGTAGGACTTTGGCGGCGGGGGGGGTGTTGTGCGGGTGAGGGAGGTGGGGGAAAGGGCCGGGATTGGGGGGAATTCCCCCCGGGGCTAGGGGGGAGGGGGAAGGGGTGAGAAAGGGGGGCAGGGGAGGGGGTTTGTCAGGAGCGGGGAAGAAACTCCAAAGTAGGTGTTGGGGCCCAGTGGGAGGTGGAATGATAGGAGGGGGTTGGGGGGGTTGCCATAAGGGGCAAAGGGAAGCATGGGACCAATGAAACAAATTTTAGGAGGAGCAAGGGATTTAGTGAAGGGATTTTGGGAATGGAGGAGGGGAAAAAGAAAGGATAAAAAAAAAAAAGAGGCATTGGGGGGGTGATGAGAGCAGTATAGGGAGAATGATAGCAATGAGGGGGAGGTGTAAATTTTTGGGGGGGGAGCAGGGGGGAAAAGAAATGGGGTTTTGGGGGAACAGGGATGGGTTTAAAATAAAGGGAGGAGGATTTTATTTTTAAAAAAAGTAACAATTTGGGACTCGGGGCATGTAAGAATTTTTTCCCCGGGTTTTGTTGCAGTCTTCCAGCTTTGCATAGAGTTTTTTGGCTGTTTTTGGGGGTCCTTTCTCCTGTTTTAAATTAAAAATGCTTTGTTTAATGCTTCGCCCCCTTTTTCGAAACCGCCACCCGGGCCCCCAAAAAGCCCACCCCCACCCCAAGGGGAGGCCCCCCCCCATCCAGAAAGGGAAAACCCCCCCCAATTTTCCGGGAAACAGAAAACGTTACCCCCCAAATTTCAGAACAGACAAGTTTTCCCCCAAATGTCGGGCAGAAACAGATACCCCCCCAAAGTCAGGCAGTCCCAGATTTTCCCCCAAAATTTTGCCCGGGAAACGGGAAAGGGATTTTCCCCCCAAATGTCAAACAGTAAAATTTATCCCCCAAATGTCGGGAAAGTACAATATCCCCCAAAAGTCAGGACAGTACAAGAATATCCCCCAAAAGTCAGCGACAGGACAGATATCCCCCAAATTCAGAACAGTACAGATATCCACCAAAGTCAAACAGTAAAGATATGCCCCAAATGTCAGACATACAGATATCCCCCAAATTCAGGACAGTACAGATACCCCAGCAAATGTCAGGACAGTACAGATATCCTAACCAAAAATGACCCCATTTTTTGCAAAGTAAGACAGTCCGATGTACTTCATAAGGAGGCATCGGCGAGTTTTTGGAACAACATATGTAAATATTTTTTTGTCATAATTTTTTGAAATGAAGAAATAAAAAAAAAATGATTTTGTCACTATTATTTTTTTACATATTGTCACCAGTGCAGTACAGCGTCATCATATAACTGGCATGGTATGTGATCAGGAACAAACACTGACTGGTGACAGTACGAAATAAAAAATCGATAATATTTTTAAATTTTTTATTATTTTTTTATTACATTTTTTCTCTTTTTTCAGTTTTTTTTTCATATTTCACTATGACCAAAGTAGTATAATGTTACCATAATGTAACATTGTACTACTTTGGGGAAGTGAATCTATATATATATTTTTTTTACACAATTTGCTTATAGCAGAGAATTACTTTGCTATAAAGCAAGCATTACCTGAATGAAAAAACTATCGATTCATTCAGAATTTTTTTTTTTTCAGCTGTGATTTTGCCACCACAGATAATCACATGACACAGCTGGGCTCTGCAGGCATGCAAATCCATATGGCGTCCACCCGGAGGGACAAGGGTTTTTGCCGGCCGCCATTTGGCATTAGGCTGGGCGGGAACGGCTATACCTCTTTTAACACAGAGAGGATTTTGCTCACTTTAGAACCTTGCAGCTTGGCATTGCTGCCATTATTAAGCTTGTGATTTACCAGAACCCCCAGATCCTTCTCCACAATTGACCCCCCCACATCCTTCTCCACCATTGACCCCCCAGATCCTTCTCCACCATTCATTCCCCCAGTTGTACCCCCCCCCCTAGTATGTATGATGCATGCATATTTTAGACCCCCAAGTGCAGAACCTTACATTCATCAACATTTAAACCTCATTGGCCCCATAGTCCCCCAATTACACAGAGCATTGAGGTCGGCTTGTAAGTTGGAGACATCCTGTAAGGACGTTATTCACGGCTCAGCTTGGTGTCATCTGCAAAGACTGGAATGAGATTTATAACCCCAGACCCCGATATCGTTTATAAGTATATTAAAAGTAAGGGTCTCAACACTGAACCTTGGGGTACCCCACTGATGACCCCAGACCATTCAGAGTATGAAACATTCACCACTACTCTCTGAATACGATCTTTTTAGCCAGTTTTCTATCCATTTTACATACAGATTTTTCAAGACTGTAGTCTTTACCTTACACATTAGCCGTTGTGTGGGGAACTGTGTCAAACACTTTTGCAAAATCCAAGTATACCACGTCTACCGCCACGATAGACAACCCTCTGTCCAGGTATACCACGTCCACTGCCACACCCTCTGTCCAAGTATACCACGTCTACTGCCACCCTCTGTCCAAGTATACCACGTCCTACCGTCACACGCCACCCCTCTGTCCAAGTATACCACATCTACTGCCACCCTCTGTCCATGTATACCACGTCCACCGCCACCCTCTGTCCAAGTATACCAAGTCTATCCGCCACCCCTCTGTTCAAGTATACCACGTCTCTACTGCCACCCCTCTGTCCAAGTATACCACATCTACTGCCACCCCTCTGTCCAAGTATACCACGTCCACCGCCACCCCTCTCTGTCCAAGTATACCACATCTACTGCCACCCCTCTGTCCAAGTATACCACGTCCACTGCCACCCCTCTGTCCAAGTATACCACATCTACTGCCACCCCTCTGTCCAAGTATACCACGTCCACCGCCACCCTCTGTCCAAGTATACCACGTCCACTGCCAACCCTCTGCCCAAGTATACCACGTCCACCGTCACCCCTCTAGTCCAAGTATACCACATCCACTGCCACCCCTCTGTCCAAGAATACTACGTCTACTGCCACCCTCTGTCCAAATATATACCACATCCACCGCCACCCCTGTCCAAGCATACTATGTCTACTGCTACCCCTCTGTTCACCAAGTATACATGTCCACAGCCACCCCTCTGTCCAAGTAAACCATGTCCACAGCCACCTCTCTGTCCAGTATACCACGTCCACAGCCACCCCCTCTGTCCAAGTATACTACGTCCACCGCCACCCCTCTATCCAAGGTTTTGGCTCACCTCCTCATAAAAAAGAAATCAGAAATTTGTTTGACAAGTTCTGTCTTTCATGAATCCATGCTGTCTGTGCCTGCTTAAAATATTTTTTTCCAGCAAGAAACTCATCTATGTGGTCTTTTATTAAGCTATCCAGCTAGGGGGCAGAGTGACAAACTCATGGGGCCGATCCCCGGGCAATAGGGGATCATGGGGCCCCTGTATCCTTGCCCCAAACTCAAAAAAGCCTATGAAAAGGTACCAGGGGCATCTCATGGGGCCCCTACTGACCCCCCGGGCCCTCGGGCAGTGCCCATGTTTCTAAATGGTCAGTCCAACCCTGCTCTCCAGTATCTTCCAACTATAGAAGTTACACTAACAGGTCTATAATTACTTGGTAAAGATTTTGACCCCTTTTTAAATATTGGCACCACATTGGCCTTACACCAATACCAGTGGTACTATGCCAGTCATTAAAGAGTCCCTAAAAATTAGAAACAATGGCTTTGAAAAGACAGCTCAATTCTTTAAAGGCCCCGTGGGTGTGTGCCATCCGGTCCAGGTGCTTTATTCCCCTTTATTTTGTGTAAATATTGTTACCTATGCTCTGCATATAGGCAGTCTATTCATTTCAATGGACTGTCTTGCATGCAGAAATGCAAAAAAAAGAAGTCCCTGACCACCTTTTTTTTAAATTGCGCTGCACATCTGCAATTATGGCATTTGCTGATGTTCCAAGGTGCCTTTAAGAATCAAACGTGCTGTATTGTAACATAAATCGTTCTGTTGTCTCAGGACTTTATAAACAAATCCATCCAGCAACAATCAGATGAAAGGTTCTGGATCGGTGTGTACAGAGATGGAGATGGATGGAGATGGGTGGACGGTCAGCTCTATGATACCAGCTCTGTAAGTGACTCTTTCATCTACACTGACAATATGAAAGTTGTCCATCCAGGAACACATAGCTCTCCTCATAACTACTCATTGTTATTTATTACCCAGATTTCAGCTATCAGGAGAATCTTCAGGAGACTGCGTTACAAGTGCAAGCAACTGCTAGATATTATAGAGATCGCTGCCAATCCCCACATTCATGTGTTCTGGGTTTTGGGATTTGTCCAAATATTTGAAGAAGAAGAGCCCCGAGGATCTGACAGATACCTCCCAAACATCCCGACACACTTCCCCAAAAACACTTTATGTATAATTCAAAGTAATACAGGAAGATTACATCTAATACCGTATATCATCACCATTATTAATCCAATTCATTTTCATAACTGTCATTTTAAAATGCGTATATGGACAAGTAACATGTATATGATGTATATAAATAAAGTACCAATACTCCAGAACATCCACTATTAGTCAGAAAGGGCAAAGAGCAGTACACATAACCACAACTAGTGTAATGCTAAGCAAAAGATATTGAGGCGGAAATGAAGAGCACATAGAGGATGTTACCAGAAGGCAGAAAAAACACAGAAACAATTAAGTGAAAAATATATTTGTCATGATAATGCCCACCCATGGTGATGTAGCTAACTGAGGAGTGGTCTGTGACAGGAATAGAGGGAATGAGGGGGACTTTGGACATACAGGACTGGCTGTGATACCCTTTCACAGCCTGCACTACCTCTGGCCACCACTAGAGGGAGACCCCACTCCAAGCTAGCTGGCTGACCACATACAGGCAGATATGAATTTTACATACAATCTGGTTGCATTCTAAGGATTGGGGGCGCAGTCTAGCAAGTAGCACACCCTTCTAGGATTCCTCCAGCTATGATACAAGCTAGAACCCCGGTGTTAATCACCCTTCCACTGTCCACACCCCCCCACACCAGAACACACAACAAACAATAGCTTGCCACCACCCAACAGTTTTGTCTGCAGACTGGTCTGCTGGGCCACCACACACACACAGATCTCCATCTGGAAAATCTGCTACTTTACAATCTACATGCAATCTGCCAACACGCAGTGCAATTGCATACAGATTGGCAATGAACTTAGACCAAGCACAATTAAGTGAAAAATATATTTGTCATGATAATGCCCACCCATGGTGAGTAGCTAACTGAGGCGTGGTCTGTGACAGGAATAGAGGGAATGAGGGGGACTTTGGGCATACAGGACTGGTTGTGATACCCTTTCACAGCCTGCACTACCTCCGGCCACCACTAGAAGGGAGACCCCACTCCAAGCTAGCTGGCTGACCACATACAGGCAGATAGGAATCTTACATACAATCTGGTGCATTCTAAGGATTGGGGCGCAGTCTAGCAGTAGTAGCACAACCTTCTAGGATTCCTCCAGCTATCCTCCAAGCTAGAACCCCTGTGTTAATCATGCTTCCACAGTCCACACCCCCCCACACCAGACACACAACAAACAGTAGCTTGCCACCACCCAACAGTTTGTCTGCAGACTGGTCTGCTGGGCCACCACACACACACAGATCTCCATCTGGCAGATCTGCTACTTTACAATCTTACATGCAATCTGCCAACACGCAGTGCAATTGCATACAGATTGGCAATGAACTTAGACCAAGCACATAGACACTACAATACAACAATCTCTCCGGAGATATGAGCCCGAGCTTAAGTACCCGGAAGTCACTTATTAATTTTATGATTTAATAACCCAAAAGTGCGCAGTGCATAAATATTTACAAAGAAAAACACAGTTACAAAAAACACAAGACAGACAAAAAGACGAACAATTGGCTATTCACTATAAAATAAAAAGGGAATAAAAACAGAACTAAAACTTTTGCCAAGATTTATCCTGCGACTGGAGCAAGTCAGAGAAAATCCACAATTTGCCAGTCAAATGGAACCGGCTACAGAGAAATCTACGCCATCCATATCTCAGGATCCTCAATTTATTGAATTATGGATGTGGGTGGGACTTTATCCCTTGGCCAATCAGTCCTGAGGGATGTTCCTGTACCAGCCCACAGGACGTTCTGTGTAGTGCCCAATCTGAAATAGTTTTGGATCGCTGGGTCAGGAATACGACACCAGCGCATCAGTCTGAACACACGACGGTACCAATCACTGTTCAGCTGTCCCAATCAGGTGCATATAACTGTTTTGTGTGTGTTTCTCCGGGATTCGGCATAGGCTAGAAATACAGTTTTACATATAGATGGAGCCTAAAATGTGTCCAATCAGAAGGAATTATTTTCAGCTCTCTGCAACTAATATTTTAGATTTTATGAGAGATGAAATAGATTCTTCTGATCTTTTTCTATGATTCAAAGCTGGCAGACCTTTCGGAGCCTTCTGCTTGTCCTCTGCAGTTTCTTGAAGCCAAAATGGTTAGAGCTCTTCTTTTAGAATTCAGGAATGTGCCAAAATCCATGTCCATAGAGGTGTTACCTCTAGCCTAGAAGCTTGCTATGTCCTTTCAAATGCTAATTAAAAAACATAGGTTTCTGACTGATTAAAGGGGCACTCTGAGAGGAAGAACCTGATCTATGGGAGCACTTTGATGGCAAACATAATGTAAGAGGACACTCTGATGGGGTGAACTGATGTAAAGGGGCACTCTGATGGGGGATTAAATACTGTTTAATTGCTATGGACGTTGTACATTTCTCATTTTTCAATAAACATACAATGACTACAATCTTTTTTGAGACGTAGCACAAATTTGAGGTTCAGACTCTGGTTGGGAAGAACATTTTAGAAATCGGAACTCCTTGAATTATAATTCAGTACCCCTGCTCTAAGCACCAGAAACCACTATAGCTTTATGGAGCACAAACAAAGTGCATGCCATATGGGTGGGGGTTTCATTGTGGAGGGCAGGGTGGCAGTAAGAAGGTTGTGGAGGGGGGGGGGGCTTCAAATGCACCTTCTACTGAGTAGAGAAAAATCCTTGCACCAGCCCTGCTGCTAGGCGGGTGGGAGAGACAGAAAAAAAAAAACATGAATTTCTTCCCTGCGGGGACAGAGATTTGATCCTTCCCCCTACCTCCTCCGCAAGCAGCTGATGACTTTAACCTCCCTGGCGGTATGATTATTTCAGATTTTTGGTGCTGAAAGCGGAGTAGGTACCAATTTTTTTGCATGGGAAATATGTATTTTTTTTATTGTAGGCTGTATACTTTTAGGAAAAACTCACTGGAAATCTGTCCGCTCGAAACAAGAGTCTAGTAAACATCCCGGGTATGATAAAATCGAAACACAAAATCATAAATTATAATTTAATAACATAATCATAAAAAATTATAAAAATAATAAAAAATTTAATTCAATAATATAATCAAACCAAAAACACTGAAATGTGAAATAGAGCGCCAAGTTCGCACATCGCTGAGCTCAGTCGTAAATCGTTTTCAGTTTCTGATGACGTAATTTCCCCCACGAATCATGTATCACTCAATTCTGCAAGTGGTTCTGATTTACTATCGCTGTTTCTCTAGCTGATCTAAACCGCTTTTGACCTAAAGGGACACTTTTTGGACCGCCATGGACATTTCTCAGTTTCCAGGCAGAAAAAGAACAGACACAAAATGCAGGCAGGGCACAGGGACAAAGCACTCGGGACAAAATGTATGTGGAAATAGGTTGAAACAGCAATGTTTTTACTGTGTAAAATGTAAAAAAAAAAAAATCACATTTTTTAAAATTTTTAAATTTCCCGCCGTCCGGCGGCGCCCGTACGTCCCGACGTCACAGGGACAGGACACAGAAGCCCGGGATGCCGGCATCAGGCCGGACGGAGATGGCCAGGGGACAGCTGCAGGGGACACATCGCGGGAGCGCAGGGTAAGGTAAGGAAGAAAACACATGCTGGGAGCAGTGCCGCATGG